TTTGCTTACTTACTAATGCATGCCGATTAATGCTACTGCTTTTTAACTTGTAGATTCTTGAAAGCTAGAGAGTTTAATATTGAGAAAACAATCCAGATGTGGGTAGAAATGCTTAAATGGAGGAAAGAGTTTGGAACAGATACCATTTTGGAGGTGAGAATGCTTAGTTTGTTGTATTTCTTTCTTTGCTTGTTCATTGGAAAAGAGTTAACAGATAAGACCTAAAAGGAATATATTGCATCATATTTGACTAGTCCAATAGCCTGGAACCCTTAAATATTATGTTTATTTTCATGAAGGGCTAGGATTATTTTTATTTTTCTTTAATTATACAAAGTTTAACCTTTTGTTGAATGAACAGGATTTTGAGTTTGAAGAGCTAGAGGAAGTATTGCAATACTATCCCCAAGGGTACCATGGAGTTGACAAGGAAGGAAGACCTGTTTATATTGAGCGGCTAGGAAAAGCTCATCCAAGTAGGCTTATGAAAATCACCACCATAGATCGATATCTGAAGTACCATGTCCAAGAGTTTGAGAGAGCTCTATTGGAGAAATTCCCTGCTTGTTCAATTGCTGCAAAGCGACAAATCTGTTCAACAACTACTATATTGGATGTACAAGGACTGGTATTTGGCTCTTATCTTCATTGTCCTTCAACAATTTGATATTTGACGACATTAATTTGACGACATTAAAAAATACCATTCTGGTAGAACTTTGCTAGCCTTGTAGCTTTTTGAAAAAAAATGCATTGTTATTCCACAAACTAATAGAAGTGAATGCAAAATGCTTATTTTTTACCTTGATCATTGCTATGGCATCATTTCGATGATGACTTGGAACAAAGACGCTAACGGTATTGTTGTTTACTTTTATTCAGCCAAGTGATATAATTATAATCACTGATTAAATGTAGTTTTTAACTGCGTACCAATTCTTTGTTTCCTCTAAAGCAGCCAAATGATAGGATATAATTAATGATTAAATGCTGTTTTTGAAGTGATTGCTGATCCCCTAATTGGTCATTAAATGTTATTCTTGAATGTAGAGCATGAAGAATTTAGCAGGACTGCTGCAAATCTCTTGGCTGCCATGAGTAAAATAGACAACAGTTATTACCTGAGGTATCTGATCTAATCCATTCATGTTTTACTTTCTGTTGCTACTTGGAAATGTAATTTTTTATATTGCTAACAACATTAAACAGAATGTATGTAGTCAATGCTGGTTCTGGATTCAAGAAGATGCTTTGGCCTGCTGTCAGAAATTCTGGATGGAAAGACAATTGGAAGAAAGTAAAGGATATGACATTAGGCATTTCTTTCTATTCTTTCTCCTGCTCAGTGGTTATTCAATGCTCTATTTGCTGATTGTAGGTCTTGGAGCCCAAACTCTCGGTAGGCTACTGGAGGTCATCGATTCTAGGTCTGTTAAATATCTGTTCATTCTTACCCTTGAGAGAATTCACCCTATGATCTCTCCTAAGTCCTTTTTTTTCTTCCTCTTTCATCAATTGCCAGATTTCTTAGGAGGGTCATGCACTGCTCTACATGGAGGGTGTCTTAGATCCAATAAAGGTCCGTGGAATGATCCAGAGATAATGAAGGTAGCCATCCTTTTTCCTTGGAATGGTTGTTAGACATGATTTAGGTTTTACTGAACTTTTATTTGGATACTAACATGTGTACTGTTTCCATGATAGCTTGTACATAATGCAGAGGTGACATTTGTGAGGCAAATTACAAGAGTATCGAATGACCAGCATAACTATGAATCTTATATCACATACGACCACTAAAGGCAAGTATTGTGTCCTGCGATCATTCAGGACATCACTATTCTGTGATTATTATAAATTCTCATGCATGTTTTTCAACATATACTCTGTCAGGGAACTATTAGTGACACAGTAGCAGAGTATGGGTCAGAGATGGATGACCAGTGTTCTCCAATTGGACGAACAAGCTCCGCGTTTTCTTGTTTGGCACCAGTTCATGAAGAAGTGAGTTGCAAAAGCAAAGAAATCTGTGTTATTGATAAGTGATGTGTTTCTGGCCTTTTAATAAGATGATTGTGATTTATGCAGGTGAGGTGTCAGATCCAAATGCTTATAGTTGCAATGATGGTTTCCCTATGATCGAGAAGCACCAGTTCAGAAGAAGTGAGTTGCAAAAGCAAAGAAATCTGTGTTATTGATAAGTGATTGTTTCTGGCCTTTTAATAAGATTGATTGTGATTTATGCAGGTGAGGGTGTCAGATCCAAATGCTTATAGTTGCAATGATGGTTTCCCTATGATCGAGAAAACCATAGAAAGTGCCCAAGGAATGACATACTCCCTAGATCAGTTGCCCAATTCTAGTAATGTGGATAGCCAATCTTATGAAGAGCATCTTTCATTCAGAAGGTATTTGAAATGCTATTTCATCACAGTAAGGAGTTTCTTGTTTACTATCTGATTTAATGTATGATGTTGATAATTTACCTAATATAGTTATGTTTTCTTTGTTATAATTCCCTACCCGTGGATTTTCTTTCCCCCCTCTAAATTGGTATTGAATTTCAGGAACTTCGATCACACATTTGTTACACACTGTTAAGGAAAAGTTTGGGAGAAGGAATATTCATTCCGTGGCAAAAATGCTAATAAGTTTATTGGTTAGACTGGCTGCTTTTATTCGCACTGTTCGTTGAATCTTGGAGAAGGCCAACTATATTCATCCTTCCAATACAATGGAACCCAACACGAATAGCCATTCAAATTCAAACAGTGCAAGAAGCTGTTAAGGAAGAAGACCTTGTCCGTCCTTTTAATGAGCGTCTTCAGAAACTTGAGAAAGCATTTGAGGAACTTAGCAACAAGCCTCCTGTAATTCCCGTAGAAAAGGAGAAATGCTCATGGAATCTCTGGACCGGATCAAATCTGTCGAGTTTGACCTTGACAAAACTAAGCGAGTATGGCTCATCTTGGTTGCTTATAAAAGTCACAGGTTCAGAGGCAGTATATTGATTTCAACGTTGATAGATTTTTTGACAATGGTGTCATTTTATACAGGTCCTACATGCTACAGTAATAAAGCAACTTGAGATTGCTGAGTGGCTGGATAATATACGATCGTCTAAATATCGTGTAAGTTCCATTCTCCATAAAATAGTTTAATTCTACAGTCTTGGAATCTTGAGCTTGATCCTATTCTGTCACATGTGATAAGAGTCAGCAGAACGGAAGGGGTATCAAGAACTAATAGTGAAGCCATTGATTGATAATTTCACACCAAATGAAAATGGAGAAACTTGAGACCTAATCTTCTTTGACTTTCGGTTTTAGAACTATGGAAAACAAGTGTATGAAGTTTGCTGAACGGAAATATGGGGTCTAGCCTGTAGATCGAATGCCTATTCTTTAAGTTGATGTATATAGAAATTATTTGAAGTCACTGTTTAGTCGAATAGATGAGTGATGAATGTATGCATTCTTGCTGGCTGTGTGCAGCAACGAAGATTGTTTTTGTGTGGAGATTGACGGATTTTTAGACCACGTTGGATTGAGGCTCTAGGGGTAGGAGATTGATGTCGATGCTGACAAAGCTCATGTGGGGGCAGCACTGCACAGTTAATGAATCGTAGGGACTGTAAGTACAACACGACTGGAGTTATAGTTGAGCTATACGGAATTTTCCGAAGCACTGCTTTGAGACTGTATGTAGAGAGAGAAATACATTTACATATCGGTGAAACATCTTGTAATTGTAGCATGCAGCGGGATTTTTGTTTCGTTTTCATCGTATCCGAATGAAATTACCATGTCCTGCTCTATCTGTAAAATCCAAGCTTGTAAAATGGAATTGTGAGCGTAAGACCAGACCTGAAACAAAACTCATCCTTTATATTTATAGAACTTAGATGAAGGGAAAATGTCCAAGATTTCCGTATGCAGGGGAATGATCCGAAAGGAAAAAGACGGAAGACGTGGTCTCCATTAATGTCTCAACAATAATTTAAAATATAATTTACTCAATTAATCTGAACCTATAAAATCAATTAATATTTTTATAAAAATAAAATTTCACGGTACATATCCGTAATGTTCCACACTCTAAACTCTACCCACAATGTTCCAAACAAAATATTAAAATCATCCTATCGAAATTTAAAATCATACTCCATAATTTCAAATAATACAAACTAAAAGCCCTTTAAATTCGCTGCATGGTGGGTCGGACAGAAGACTCCATGTGAGTTTTGGACCCAAATCATGGTCAATTTATGAGTTCATCATTTAGACATTTTGAATCTGTTGACCCCAGTTTCCACAGTGAAAATTATGGCCAACATTTTAAGTTAATTATTAGCCTTTGCAAAAAATTATATAATTATTAGCATAATAGCCTATTTGTCTTCTAATCCTTTCAGCTGCTTCTTGTCCTCTTCTCTGTAATATTTAAACATGCGACCAATTAAGATAGAGAGAGAGGAGAAAAAAAAAACAATCGAATTGAGTGGTAAAAAATTCAATTCGAATTAATATTTTAAAATATTTAAAAAAAAATAGGGAATGCTAGCTGGAAAATGCTAACGTATGACAGCTTTAATATATAATTAAAAAAATGTATTATCGATTTATTATTATTTAAATATAAAATAGGTAAATTTTTATTAAAAATATTATTATTTATATCGATTTTGTTATTATCAGACGTTTTATTAGATTTGGTAAAGCATTAGTGATTTTGTTATTTTTTACCGGTTTTATTATTATTGAGTAATTTTATCGAAAATATTAAAAAATTAATGTTTTAGATAAAAATAATAATATTTTAGATAATTTTTTATTAATTTTATTATTTAAATAATAACAAAACCGATAATATCTTATTTTAAGTATATATTAATTTGCCCACTAACTTCCGAGGGTAGCTGGAGGAAGGGGGAAATAAAGCAGTGATGAGCTGTTATCAATTTTTAATGAAAACACGGCTTCTTTCCTGCTCTGTCATCTCTTGTTCTTTTATCATCTCAAAATCCCATTAACGACTCCATAGTTTCAGCAATACAGCTTTCTCCCTTCTTCTAATGCTCGAACATGAACCGATAAAAAAGAAAGAAAGAAAAAAGTAAACAGAAGCTGCTGCAAGATTAGAGAAGCTTCAATTTTTGTAGTACTCTGCCCCCTTGAACTTGAGGCAGATCTGTTTCTAAATCATCTAAAGAAAAAAGAAAAGGAAGTTGATGGGGACAAACAAATTGTTGTCTTGGTTTGCAGTTTTCTTCTTTTTGTTGGGTTTTTCTGCTTGCAAATCAATATCGGGTATTTTTATCAATAGATTTCATTGCTTTCTTGCATTTTTTTTAGACCCATTTTGTGTTTTTCTAATATGTGATGATTTGAATGTCTGCATGGTGTTTTCAGCTCTTTCACTTTTACTGGAAGGAATCTCCTTAAACCAGAAAGGTTATTTTTCTCTTCTTTTTCGTTGTTATTTAGGATAAGATTGAAGTGTTTGCTTCCAGATCTGATGCCGGGTTTGGGTAGTCCGATTCTTGGTGAGAGCTTATTTGAGATCTTGCATCATTTTAGGCAATTACATGAGTTTGAAACACAAAGGAATATGATTTTGGCTAGTTTGAAATCTTTACCCTGGGGAGAAACTTGTTGAAGGTACTTGAGAAAAATCTTGAGAAGGGGAGAAAAGGGATTTGATTTTCTTTCTGGTTTCCATGAACTATGATGCGAAATCTGCTGATTAAGTGTTTGCTTCCAGGCTGCACTACTTGAACTGAAAAAATGGTTTAGCACAGTGTTTCTGGGTCATCTCATATTTGAAACCATTACCATGGAACAATCCCCAAAATTTATCATGTATCAAACCATTCTTCATAGCAAAACAAACAGTTTATCGGTTAAAATCTTTTCTTCTATGAGTTTCCAGTGCTATCATTCATTTGATGTTGCCTGCTATCGTCTCAGAATCCTTTCCAGTGCTAATGTCGTATTCATGCAGATTTTGTGAGTCCTATTGTTTCATTTTCTTAGTGCTAAAGCCTAAAGGTGTCTCTAGGATTTGAGAACCGATATGGTGAATGTTAAAATCATCAGATTTGTCTCGAATTAGATATGATTACCCTTCTATTTTACTCGTGTCCGACTCATATGCGGACATGGGTATAGGGATAAGACGAGTACAAATACCCATGTCCAACACACTCATTCGAGTACGACTAACATAGAACCTAATAGCATCCACCATATTTGACCGAATATGTAGATATCTTTTGCTTGGCTCATTGAAGATTCCAAAAGTGCATTTCAATGTCTTAAGGCCTTGATCTCTTTGAGCTTAAAGATTATATATATATATATAGTTTTAAGTAACAGCTTTTTTTGGGGAAGGTGTAGTTTAACCTCGAACGGGACATATAACTAGATTTTGACGTACTATTCCTTGTACTTTGCAGCATGCCCTGTTAACTTTGAGTTCCTGAACTACACAATCATCACAAGCCGATGCAAAGGACCCAAGTTTCCACCTGGAAGCTGCTGTTCAGCGTTCAAGGATTTTGCTTGTCCTTGTGCAGAACAGATCAACGACTTGACGACCGACTGTGCTTCGACGATGTTCAGCTACATTAATCTTTACGGGAAATACCCTCCAGGCCTTTTTGCCAGCGAGTGTCGTGAAGGGAAACTAGGGCTTGCTTGCCCCGCCTTATCACCGTCAGCATCGGAGAACGCCAGCGGCAGTCAGCAGCTGATAAGTAATCTACTGATGCTGGTGATGGCCACAGCCATAGCCGCAGCTATCTTGTTGTGAAAGCCTGGAAATGAATTCCAGATCACTCCATTGGTTTATTTATATATATTTTCCCACTTTTAACATTGCAAAGAAGAGTTACAGTGTTCTCATTTCATCCATCAGCTTTGTTCTTGGTGCATGCTTTTTATTTGTATTTTCATTTTGTGCCGGCGTACATCATAATTATAGTAATTTAATTTAATTTAATTATTTTACTTTTGATATGGCTAAAAATTAGTACATGCTTTCACTTCATACATTTAATTATTTTATGTTTTTTGATAGTATAGATTAATAATTTTTCTTAATCATTAATAATCATAAACATATTTAGTAGATGCAACTGTTTAAATCCTAACTTTTAAAAAATAACTTTTAAAAATTAACAATGCTCTCTTTTTCTAATTATTTTATGTTTGGTAAGGCTAAAAATGTTCATAGTTACAATAATTATTGTTATATATTGTTATATATTGTTATATAATAAGACAATATACACAAAAAACATGTTTACAATTATAATTTGGATAAATTATACTGAAATTACTTAATTTTAGGTTGTGTATGGATTTTATCATTGAATTCTAAAATTCTTTAATTTTGGTATTGAATTTTCGTTTTGGGGTGAGTTAAGATACTAGGATGTTAAATTGTTAAATTTTATATTCTAAAATTGTTTTAGAATTAAAATGTGACTCTAATCCTTAACCATTTAAGAGACAATAATAAATCCTTAGCTATTGAAGTTGTTTGATGGTTGAAAATATAATTTTAAATTAATTATTATTTTATTTTAATTAAAATTAAAATATTAAAAATGATATGAGAGTAAGGTGAGTAAAATTATTATTATTAAGAAAAAAATATTATTTTTTATTCATCTTAGATTTCTTGTACTATAATATATTATATATCTGTAAAAAATGCAATTCCTGTGTTGATTTTTTTTAATCTCCAGATCGGAGAAGAAGGCCATCTTCCCATCCCATATTCTCACTTATTTAAAAGGTCTTGTTTTCTTTCTTCTCTTCCCCCCCTTTGCTGTTATCCTTTCACTGCTTCACGATCCATTTGTTGATGTTTATATTCTTCGATCATGATTTTTCTTTGTTTATGTGATCCTTTCTGGTAATCGCTTCATAGGTACGTATAGAAATTAATTCCTTTTATTATTTATTTTAAAAAAAGAAAATTAGGGTTCCTTCCCCTCACCAATTTTTGTTATCAATGTTTTGTTTTCGGATAAGTGTTATTATTGAATTTTGTTCTTGTTGTTGCATGGTTGTTTTTGGAGTTTAATTTTTTTTGTTGGAATTTCCATTAGGGTTTACATTAATCAGGCTATTGCTTGCAATTTTAGTTTGCAGACCCTAAATTTGTATGTTTATGAATTTCACGAAGATTTGATTTCTCTATAGGAGGCAAAACTTTCCAAATTAGGGACCTTGGCAAGGTTTTGTAGTGCTTCTTCGGGTGTTGCATGCTGCATAGTTTAATGGAGAAGCTAATTTCTGCATTGATCCTAACATTATAATAGACTTGTAGCGTATTTGAATTGAAAATATTGCAAAATTTACTTCAGAATTTAGCATAATATATTTCCTTAAAATAATCTATTATGGTATTGACTTGTGGGCTATTTAGCTATCTAATTTGTTTTTCTCCTAGCCGATGTATTATGTAAATGTTGTGCTTCGAACTTGTTGAAAAGGGACTTAAAACTATAACTTATATGATTTGTTATCGTATAGGGCATGTTTTTTCAATTCTTTTTAGATTGTAACTTGCATAAGTTGAAAGGGACTTAAAAACTCACCATATTACTTTCATGACAATTTTAAATTTGCCCCATCTGGTCAATTACAATCTTCAGTTCATCAGTGTATTTAGCACAAATTTCACTCCTAAAAAAATCTAAGCCAATACAATAGTCCAATTCAATGTAATGTGACCTTTTTCTTTGTGTATGGTTGTATGTCATTAATTTATCGTGGATGCTTAAATTTGTATTGGTGTAGTTCTATCGGTTGAATATGTCCCATTACCAAGAAGACGATCCTGAATATATGGAGGAGTATGACATGGAAGACATAGAAGATGACATGGATGAAGAGTTTACCGGCAGATATATCTCTGGCTCGACACTGATGTTGATGAAAACTACTCGGTTTGTTTTCTGTTTTACAAGACTCACATGGGCATTTCTTTAACAACTAAATTCATGAATCATTACCTTAGGCAACTGTACAATATGAATTTGTTCTAGTATTATTATTCATGAACTTGAAGCCCTTTTTTGCCTGTACTGCAGAATAATAAAATATCCGATACTTCTGCTGCTGAAGCTAGAAGAGGAAAAGACATCCAGGGAATTCCTTGGGATCGGCTTAGCATCACTAGGGAAAAGTACAGGCAAACTAGGCTAGAACAATATAAGAACTATGAGAATATCTCTAACTCTGGAGAAAGGTCCGGGAAGGTAAAAATACTTATAAGTTGCTCCCTTCCTTATATAAGAATTCTTTGCTCTAATGTTTCGGTGCTAATTTAGCTAAATTTGTACATAGGATTGCAAAAGAACGAAGAAGGGTGCCTCATTTTATGACTTCCGACTAAATTCCAGATCTGTAAAATCAACAATACTTCATTTTCAGGTTAGCTAAATGGAAATTTTCATTTCATTAATCAGCTATCGTTACCCCATTATTATTATGTGAGGTCATAGAAGTTTTTTTCTTTTTTCTTTTCCCTTTTTAAAGAACTTTTCTCCTATCTCAAGACGTTTCTAGTAGACCTGTTTTTGTGTGCTTTTGACTGTGCTGTGATTACTATTGTTGACTGGTAAACATAACCATTTGTGCTGATGCAGTTGAGGAACTTGGTATGGGCTACATCAAAACATGATGTTTACCTTATGTCACATTTTTCTGTCATTCATTGGTCTTCGTTAAAACACAAAAAGCGCGAAATTCTTAATGTTTCTGGCCATGTGGCACCATCTGAGGTCAGTGTTCTGCCAGTGATTTTGCTTTTTCTCTGAATTGTTGGTTTTTTACCCTTTTCCCCCTTTTATTTCCCCCTATCTTATTTCTTCTGTGATTGATGAACATGTCTTTTCTTCCTTTAGAAACATCCTGGAAGTCTGATGGAAGGTTTTACGCAAACTCAAGTCAGTACTCTTGCAGTTAAAGATAAGTTTGCTGGTTGCTGGAGGATTCCAGGGTGAACTGATATGCAAGGTAAGTACTAAGTAGTGTATTGACTCAAAAGAAAAAAGATAATAAAGTTGAATGTTTAGGTCTTAACTGTTCTATTTCAATCCATTGCTGGACATGTTAGTCTTATCATGAGTCTGGCTAAATGATTCCATTCAGGTTTTATTTTGGTCGAGTTCTTATTTATCGTTTTCCTCTTGCCAATTATCTTAAGAATTAATTTTGATTTTGATCTGGCATGTAGCATTTAGATCGGCCTGGAGTAAGCTTTTGCTCCAGGACCACATACGATGACAATGCCATTACAAATGCTGTTGACATTTATGCCACTCCTAGGTATATCTTGTTCCCCGAGCTACTGGTGGCATCGGTCGCATTCAACCTGAACCTAATTTTGCTTTGTTTTCAAATTACCAGTGGTGCAGTTCACTTTACTGCCTCAAACAATGACTGTGGAGTCAGAGATTTTGATATGGAGAAATATCAGCTTTCTAAGCATTTTCATTTTCTTTGGCCAGTCAATGTAAGTTCCATATACAGGGGATTCATTTCATTTTTAAGATTTGTACATACACTTACTATTATTCCATCAAAATGCATATGCTTTTGCAGCATACTTCTCTGAGCCCTGATGGGAAACTTCTAATAATCGTTGGAGACAACCCCGATGTTATGTTGGTGGACTCTGACACGGGGAAGGTAGTCTTCTTTCTTTTGCACCATTTTATTTTATATATACCACTGTTTGGAGATTTCAAAGGCTAGGACTTGGTGTTTGGCTAATGTGAAACCGTGTTGCAGACTGTTATGCCCTTGCATGGACACTTGGACTACTCATTTGCATCAGCATGGCATCCTGATGGTGTCACTTTTGCCACTGGTAACCAAGACAAAACTTGTCGGATTTGGGATGTTCGGAACTTGTCCGAGTCAGTTGCAGTTCTCAAGGGAAATCTTGGAGCGATACGGTCCATACGCTACACATCTGATGGCAGGTACATGGCGATGGCTGAGCCTGCTGACTTTGTCCATGTATATGATGTGAAAAGTGGGTATGAGAATGAGCAAGAAATCGATTTCTTCGGCGAGATATCTGGGCTATCCTTCAGTCCAGACACAGAGTCTCTCTTCATTGGTGTATGGGATCGTACATATGGTAGCCTTCTTGAGTATGGCCGACGGAGGAACTACGCATACCTCGATTCCCTAATCATGTGAGTCGATTCTTATGAAGCATGCAAAATAAGGGCGTCACCTGGTTCCTGATGAAACTTGAGCAGTAGAAGAGGGGGAAATGCAAAATAAGCTTTTGTGGTTATTGATGGTATCTGAGCCAGTAAAAGAGGGTTTTAGATGTAAATGTAAATTGTGCTGCAACTTTAGGGATTGCCGTTAAATTGGATAATTGGTTTTCATTTCTGCATAAGAGGTTAATGGGAGGGTATGTACAGAAGGCCTGTTGATGTGAACAAGAATGAGATAGAACTATGGCTCCCAGCTCCTTTGGAACTAGACAATTTTATTTGCCATTTTGCTTTCGTTTGCTAGTGCCTTTGGCTCTTTGCTCGTTTTCTTTTGTCGATTACAAATTTTGGGTATCTAGTTGTGATATAGATTTAGATTAGAATCAAGAATCTATGATCCAAAACATTTTATAGAATACACATACAGTCACCGAAAGGAGAGGGCTTATTTTCCTTAAAACTCAGGTGGGGACAACCACCTCTGAATGGGTTGACATCTGCCAGACAAGGAATAAGAACACTAAAGCCAGTAATATCAGTTGTGTGAAAAAATATGACATAACCTTGCATACTCTCCCGCGCATCTTCAAAACCTCTTCTACGTCCAATATGATTCGGTGATACTTTTCCAACTCCTTCGCTTGTTTCTTTAGCATTACAGCCATGCTTTCTAACTCCCCGAGCTTATTCAACATCTGCTCTTGTTCTCCTGCCAATGTTGTTTGTTCTTCAAATACCGCACCTCTCAACTTCTCCGCTTCGT